AAAACCACAGCCATGGATGATCAATCTTATTATTTATCTTGCATATTCAGGATGGATGATAATTAGAAAATCTGTTACAGAAAAATTCAAGTTTAGTAAAAATGTTGAATATCAAACATTTTTGGATTTATTAGACAATTGTATATATGCCAGCTGCATTAGATGTTTATGCTGTTCTATTCAGAGAAGGTCATTTTTATAGATGCTGGTCGCAATTCTTGGTGATGGTTGCAACCATATTTGCGATATATAAAAATGGTTTGCAACACCTGGTTGCAACCACTTTGCGACCACTTTGGTTTCCTTTTTTGGATTGCGACATGGAACACTAGTGGGAGAGTAAGCACTACTATTAAAATGATATTAGCTAATATATGTCAGCACCCTTATTCAAAGTACTTTTACAAAATTAAATGATGTAACAAATTCTCAATAATTTATTCATGTTTTTATAGTTCCAATCATATTAGAATTATTTACAAGTGATGATGAAAACAATTATAATAGTGAATTAATGATAAGCAGGTAAAAAGTAATATATATATATATACAAATTTGGCATAGACTTTATTCATACCAAAGAACTTACAAATTAATTTATAATTATAATATATTTCATGATACTATTTATTAATTTTAATAACAAGATTCCTGATGAATGAGAAGTTGATAACTCAAACATTTCATCAGTATTATGAAAAAAGTTATTGTGTTTTTATGGTAATTTTATGATTATAATTTGAAGCTATTGATTATTTTTTGATAGATTCGTAAAATAAACGTAATACATAAATTTTGGAGGTTATATGACCATTTAATAAAGCCTTTGCCACATTTTCTTCATAAAAAAGCATTTTTTTAATTTAAATTTTTTTTCAAAGAAAAGATCTGCATAAAATTAGCCAATCATTTTTTTTTTGTTTTTTTTTTTTAAAAAGATTTCTAGATTGTCTATCCTTACAGTATTTGAAATTCCATATTTGGTAATAATCCTGACTGTTTATGTTTATTACTTCTTATTTAGTTAGTGTTAACGCTATAATTCATTTCAACCAATCAGATTTTGACTTTTCATAAATAAAGAAATCTGATTGGTCCTTAAAAACTTAAATTTAAATTTTCTATACCATTTTAATATAAATCAAAATAATATGAGAAAAAACACTACAAATTACCTTTAATGTAAAGAAAGAAATTTAATTTTGACAATTTTTAATCAGCATTTAATTTAATCAACAATCGAATTGATTGTTATACACTAAATATTACTTTGATATCAACAGAAGCCCTGCATCAAGACAACAATTTCCTCTGCAAAATGCCTTTGCTCTTACTGTGCACAAAACCCAGGGATTAACATTACCTCATTCAACTGTCAGCATCGATGAAAATATGTTCACACTTGGTCAAGTATATGTAGCCATGAGCAGAGTGCCTTCTTGGGATTCACTTGGAATCTTAGATTTTGACTTTTCTAATATAAAAACTGATCAATCTGTAATTCAGGAGTATGCAAGATTGAAAAACGTAAACCAAAGAAGTCTTGGCCAATTAATTAATTAATATATATATTAAATATGAGAATCTCAGATTTTTTTTTTGTATTACACAAATATTATTAATAAAGTTCAAAAAAGCTCACTGCGCATCCTCTGCTAAAATCTTGTTTAGTTAATGAAATTAATAAATTTTTTTTTCATTTACATTGTGCAACAAACAAATTATTTTTAAAAAAATGATTGAAGTAATTAGTTTGCCAGATGAACTTCTGGATAAAATATTCAAATACATTGAAGACGATTACCAAGCATTATATTCTTGTATTCTTGTCAACAAAAAATGGCACAATATAAATATTCCAACTTTATGGAAGAATCCATTCGTTTGTGACAACAGCACCAAAATATTAATTAATTGTGTATTAGAAGAAGACAAGGATTTCTTAACTAGAAATTACGTTGAATTAACATCTGAACTATTATTGGAGAAACCACCATTATACAATTATGCCAGATTTTGTACTATACTTTATGATTGTTATGATCTTCGATGTCTGGCAAAACATAGAGAATTAAATCAAATTTTAAAAATTAAATTAGTAAACTTTATTTTAGAACATTCAGTAGGTATTAGAAGGCTTAATACTGCTGGTAATATAGATTATGGTTCATTAATTAATCATCATAGATTAGATAATTGTTTTCAGAATCTTTATGAAATAAATTGCAGTAGTTCTGATAGTGGTAAATTATTTGATAAATTAGCAATTATTTGTAAAAATATTCAATCGTTAAGAGTACATTGTTATAGTGATGGCAAAAATATATATAATTTAGCACAGCTAATCAAAGCACAAGAGCAAATTAAATATTTATCTATTACATCATCAATGTTACTGGATGAATTAAGGAAAGCAATATTAACACATTCACAATCAATAATTTTTTATGAATCTCGTGGCAATGTAGATAATTTTGATAATTTCTTATTACCAACTTTTAAAAATTTAAAAACTTTAGAATTATCAATTGATTCTGATAAAAATATGATAAATTTGAAAAATATTTCACTGCCAAATATTGAATCTGTGAAGTTACGTATTACTTATCAGCCATATGTGTCAGATTTGCCTGATTTTATTAATATCAACGGAAAAAATCTTAAAAATCTGTATGTTATTGGTGCTTATAATGATGAATTCTTGAGAAAGTTATTTCAATCAATTGCACAATATTGTAAAAATTTAGAAGATTTATCTATAATATATAAGGATGAATTAGACCAGGAATTAATGGAAGCACTTAATAATTGCATTAAATTAAAAAGTATTAGATTTTATAGTACTTTTGATGAAATAGATTTTGATAAAATATTGACAGTATTAAACGAAACATTACCAAAAAACTTAAAGTCAATAACCTTTTCTTGTAAGGTTTGTAATGTTAGTAACCATTCTTTGGATATTCTAGTGAAGAATTGGAGAGGACTCAAACCTTTAGTAATAGGATTTAATAAATATTGGTATACATTTCTGCTAAAAAGTGACGAAAGAAAAATATTAGAAAGATATCAAAATTTAGGGTTATTAATAATTAATATATAATAAATCAAATCATTTTATTGTTATAGATATTATCAAAAAAATTTTTTAGTGATTAATTAAAATATTAAATGCTTTATACTTTGTTTATTTTAAATTAGTGTAAACCCTTCCTTGCGTTGAAGTGACTATCACCATTCTTCTTGTTGTTATTATTATTATAATATAATAAAAAATTTTATAAAGATAAATTTGTTTATTATTAATATATTAATGTTTTTGAATTTTTAAAAATATTTGACATATATTCTAATTGACTACTCAATGACAAAATGGTATCAACAATGTTACAAACAATTTTTACTTAATTTAAAATGTTTCTGCAAAAGATTTGAGCAATTACAAAAATAATTGTAAAGATTCACTTTTTTTTTGCTTTTGTAAAAAAATAATTAACAATTTATATACTTAAAACAAATACTTTATAAAAAACTTTTTTTTGTTGCCTTGTAAATAAAGGCTATTTTCTTTTATTTATTTATTATGGATCATATGCTTCAAGAACTCAATTCCACTTGCAAAATGCCTCTTCATTGAATACAAAGTTTAACTCTACCATTCACTTCAATTACCTTAGGCACACAGATATTTTTCCTGGCAAGCATATGTTGCTCCAGTGGGTGTGCAAATATTCTAAAAATTTCACTGGATAAGAATACACCTTTATAGCATTGCAAAAGGGCCATCATTATTTAGTTATGGTTATATGGCATCATTAAGTGTGCTCACAGATTTATCTAGGTGTAGTAATTGAGAACCAATGTAAATTCATAAACTAATTAATTGACCAGCACCAAATTATTGTGAATCAAAAACTGTAAAAAGTTTATTATAAGAAATATTATTATAATTTAGCTTTAAGAAACAAAATAAGGATAAAATAAAAATGAATAAATTATAATGGAGATTAAATCAATTTTATTATTTATTAATTAATATTGATAGTAATTTCAATTAATTGATAATGAAAATATTATTTACCTTTGTTAAAATTTTAGAGAAAAGAGTTAAAATCAAGGTTATTTAACAAACTATCATTACTTTATAAATTTTCAAGCTTCTAGATTTAGTAATCTCTTCATCTAATAATCTACTTGTATGATATGCATCTGGATGTGATTTGTAGACTTGACCATTACAAAAAAACTAAAATTTGCCACTTTCAAGTGTGGTCAAAAATCCGGAATAAAAAACTGTTGGCTCTTTGGTCTTCCAGGCGGGACAGACACACTAATACCATCTTAGGCGGATTTGTCCCAAATCCCCCACAATGGCATTGTGTACTTTGAAGAATATTACCACTATGAAAATCATGATGAATGATTTCTTTTTCATGAATAGCTTTAAACCTCCAATAATTTTAAGAAGAATAGTAATTTTCTGTTTCCATTTTAAATTTTTAAAATCTTTAGTTAAATAATTTTGGAGACTTCCATCTTTCATATATTTCATTACAAATATATACTCTTTTGTAATTGGATCTTGTGTTAAACCATAAATATGAATTATATCTTGTTTATCATGAAACTTTATATAATTTTTGAACTAAATAATAAATAAAATATTTAATTACAACAATAACAAACAATAATATCTAAAAAATCTGAAAATAAATAGAAAAATAAAATAATTTACCTCATTGAGAAATTCATCAGAAATATTCTGTGAATCATGTAGTTTTTTTAGTGCTACAGTCCTATCTTCAATAGTTTTTGTGAAATTATTATTTATCCTTTTATTACCATTTAACCAAGTAGCTTTGGATATAGTTGCAATCCACCTTCACCAATCTTTTCAATATTTGTTAAAACATTACAAGGAAGATAATAATCATTATCATATTTAGTTGCTTTGAGTTGTATACTTTTAATCAATTCATCTAATGTTTCATTGCCACTAGTCCATCCTTCAGTTAATAATTTGGATCACATGATTGACACCATGCCTCATTAGTATTATATCTATTGCAGGTTGGACATTTCCCATATTTTTTTTTCTAATATATTCATCATCATAATATTGAAGGATAACCTACTAAGCTCACAAACCAATAAGTCATCTGGCTTTACAAAACAGCTCATGAGGAACTCTACCCTCCACAGGTGAAGTCCTAGGTACAAATTAGAGGCTAGAGAGAGGCTTTAACAGTCTCTTGACAATACAATTCAATAAACCTCAGGGCCAAGAGAGACAGCCTCTGAAATTCATTGCATATCATACCTTCAGGGTATTCAGGTTGGGATAGCCTTTGGTCTATAGTAGTAATGTTCAATTGGAATATTGGAATGTTCCAATTCCAAAGCTATTGAAATGCCAATCTTCCAATGCAGACTGTCCAATGAAATGTTATTGGAAGGTTGGAAGGTTTTACATTATCAATATTATCATTCAATCAAATTTAATCACATGGTAAATTGAGGACTAATAATTACAGATTTCCAATGAAGTAGTTCCACATGGCATGCATGAAGAAATTAGAATCATAAAAAATTTTTAATTTATTATTTATATAAATCATATGAAAAAAAAATATACATATATAAAAAACAACATTTGATTACATATTATGAATTAAATATTCTAGTATATAAGTTCACATTTGGCTCTTGCTAGATGTTTATCATTAAAAAAACCTTTCCTTTGATAATTCATCTACATCCAGCTTTTCATGGCAAGCAATACAAACAGCACACATATTCCATTGATTTTGTTTTCCTTATACTTTGCTAGATGGTGATTGTTTTTTGTCATGTTCCAATTCCAATTGAAATTCATTGGAACTACCATATTCACAACACTGGTCTATAGAAATACAAGGATATTTAATTGATCCTGAAATAACTTTCAGTATCTTTAAATTTCCAATAACCAAATTTTGCATGTTAATAAGGAGGTTACTTTAGGCAATTTTATAAAAACAATATTAATAAATAAGGTATTTGCTTCGGAACCATACCAAATGATTGTTTTAATTGTTTAAAATTATAATGTAAATCCCTGCCTTGGGTTGTTTTGAAGGTCGTAATTCACCTGTATCCTCCTCAGACAGGCGGGTTAAAAAAGTCTATTATATGCAAACTTTGTATAATTTGCAAAGTTGTATGTATGATGCAAATAAATAGTCACTCAATAAAGTTTTAAAATCCACTTTCTGTTGTTCTCCACTGGGCTGAATTGTTTTTTTTTTTAAAAAAAATTATGAAATTGATTGGATAATTTATATATGGTGATCATTACTAGTAACTAACCAATGAATATTATTTAGTGATACATATGAATGAGTGAATGTTATATAATAATGATCAGTGGGGAAAAAATGTCGCAAAAACTGCTAATCAACTACCCTTATTAGAAAAATTGTACTATACTTTTTTATGTATATAGATAGAATAAAACTCAAAGATTAATTTTTTTTAACAAAAAAAAAAGTTTACTATGGAGAGCCATGGATTCGAAGGTTACTTTGATATAAAAAATTTTCTTTAGTCTTGTGCAATGTATATAGTTCTATAATAAACAGATCATTTAGCTCAATTATAGAGAGAGTCTGTTATTAATATTAATAATTTATATATGGGACATATAAATTGTGCTTAAATTCTCAGTCTGTTATAGAGCAAGTTTCATTATAGAAATATCCATTATAGAGAAGAGTGAGCTATACTGTAAGTACAAATATTTATATCTATATTGAAGAAAAAGCTTTATATTTTTATACAAAAAAAAAATATGGTATATTATAGATTTATTCAAATAATTTTTTAGTTATATTTAAGAAGAAGCATTATACCTTTCATACAAAAAAATAATAAAAAGTCACTTATTGTTTTATGAAACATATGGTTTATTAATATTTTATAGGTATTAAAAAACAAGAAGAAAAGACACTAAAAAAAAAATTATAAAGCAAATTCAATAAAAATTAAATAATAATGTTTCAATTAATTAAGACTTTTAAAAACGAAAAGTTGGCGTGTAACTTTTGCTTATTATTTTTCCTATTTAAATTCTTGTCTATCTGGAGAATCATTACTATTACCTCGTAATTCTAAGAATAGAATAATTTGATTGTTTATAATAAATAAATAACTAGTTATTAATAAACAAAACTAGTTTTTTTTTCAATTGTTTACATAGCTGTACAACCAAAATTATTACTTTTTAGAACAAAGAAATACATCAAAAATCCGGAAAACATTTTTAAATTGTTTACGTAGTGTCCTGTAACTGCACAACTAAAGTTATTTGAATATTATTATTATTTTATTGATAATTAACAAACAGAATCTATTTTTTTAAAAACAATAATTTTTTTTGATACAAATAATGTTCATCAGGAAATTTTTTCTGACGCAGATTTATTAAAACGAAAAGTTGACGTGTAACTTTTGCTTATTATTTTTCCTATTTAAATTCTTGTCTATCTGGAGAATCATTACCTCGTAATTCTAAGAATAGAATAATTTGATTGTTTATAATAAATAAATAACTAGTTATTAATAAAACAAAACTAGTTTTTTCAATTGTTTACATAGCTGCACAACCAAAATTATTACTTTTTAGAACAAAAAAATACATCAAAAACCCGAAAAACAATTTTAAATTGTTTACGTAGTGTCCCGTAACTTCACAACTAAAGTTATTTGAATATTATTATTATTTTATTTATAATTAACAAACAGAATCTATTTTTTTAAAAACAATAATTTTTTTGATACAAATAATGTTCATCAGGAAATTTTTTCTGACGCAGATTTACGTAATTATTACACTATTTATGTAAGTTTATGGCGGGCCCCGTAATATTATGCCAATAAGCATACAAAAATTATGCAATTATTACATTGAGTGTAAATATTACAAAATTTTTTATGCAAATAATAATACGGCGGGGAAAATTTCCTGTTATATGATAACGAGAAGTTACTATTAAAGTATTAAAGTGTGAGTTCATTGGTAAGCTGTTTGAACATGGCATCTACAATGGAATTGGTAACATTATTAAAATGAATGTTCAAAAAAATCACTATAAATTTTGAAATAAATGGTACACATGTCTCAAGGTGCCAATTCCCATTGCAGAATGCATTTGTCTTGACAACTCACAAGACCTAAGACGTGACATTATCATATGTGACTCTAACGATTGATGAAAATATGTTTGCCCCAGGTTAGTTTTATGTAGAGCTCGTTCTTGGGACCAGTTGGATATCCTTTCATTTGATTTTGATTGCCTGAAGATGGATAAAGATGTTGTGACTGAATGCAAAAGATTAAATCTTTTACACTAAAACAGTATTATTAATTATTAACGAATGAATGGAATGAATTCATCGATTTAAAAAAAAAATAATAATAATAATGTAACACATGCTCACTGTGCATCGCTTTTTACTTTCGTGAAACAGCAAAATTCTTTTTTTGTCAATTTCCGTTGCACCAACTTAATTCATTGAAACAAAAATTCGCCGAAGCGAAGTTCGTTGAAATTAGGGTTTGACTGTACACAATAGGACCCACAGCAATACATATAGAGGCAACAATTAAATTCACCAATACTAAAATGAATAAACAAACTTTTAAACATGACCTCAAAAATTTACCGACGAATAAGCAAACCAAAAGTGATACTTATTATGCAATCTTGATAATCATCAGTTATTGGATTATTCAATAATATTATTCTGAAAATATTCATTACAACAATTAAAACTATTGATTCGGAAATACGAAAAATTACATTAGGTAGTTAAAATATTACATTTCCTTAACTAAATCATTAAAAATATCGACATGAATAAGAATGTGCACATGTGAGGAAATATAGCTTGCCATATTTCATAATTGAGTATTGACATGTATTTGTTTTGAGATTAAAGCATCATCGTCATTTCATACTTGGAGTAAGTCATCATCGTCCCTATTATCGTATACAACAGAATCCAAATTCTTCTTCTGAACTTTCTGTAAAAATTGAAAATAGTTCTTTGCGTCTCTTTTGCTTTACATCCAGCACCCTTTGCATGATGATTTAAGTAATCTTTACCCAGAATCTGTTAAGCTAATTGTTTACCATAAATGTAAAAACTTTCTTAGCATGAATAATATGGGCACAATATGGATGTCAAAGGTCGCTATTTACAATATTCCATGATGACTTCAATTATGATAATTCGAGGTCCTGTGTTAATTAACGGGATATATTCTTTTTGGTTTGTGTGTACCAAACATCAACCAAATATATATTGCACAATAAAAGAAATATGCACTTATAGATCATCATCTACATGGAAAAAAATTTGTAGTTCAAAATTTACTTTTTTAAATGTATAACGATGGATTATTGTACATTTAATATAACTCAATATAGAGTTCATTCAAAATTCATTATTTGTGGCTAAAATGAAAGGAATATAAATATAACCCTTTTCCTTGTTCTTGAAAAAATAATCAAGAAACAAAAATGCTAAGTCACATATATAGAAAACCGCAAGAAAACGAACCAAAATCGATTCTAATTTTTCGACGCTCGATTATTATCATATCATTATTATTTTTAATCTTTTCCCTTATAATATTGTGTTTTAGGGTGTTCACTGAACAGCCTAATCTTACTATCTCTATTTTACCATTGACTAATCCACCTGCACCAGGTAAAAATAGTTTTTTTGAGTCGAAAATATAACCAAAATCAATAATATGTTTTCTAATATCAAACCCGCGAATTAATGTAGCCGTCCATTTGGCTTTTAGTCAAGATTTTACCATTTCGTGTTCATTACTTTACGATTACGATGGAAGTAAGAGGAATTTTGATTATACTTTATAATTTTGCATTATTATTGGCTCACATTATGTATATTTCGCACAAAAGTAAATTCGACCAGTTGCGATCAATATGTTACACAACCAAGAAATATCCATATTCAAGATTTTCCTTTTGTTGGAACCTTTTCACCAAAAGGAAATGTAATGCTGACCAGATATGATGATACAGGTCCATATTTTGTTCAACTCTATGTAAATATCAAGGATCCAAAATTTAATAATGACACCCAAGAACTTATGATGACTGCGTATGATGCAGGTAAGTTTTTTATAAATTGATGGCAGATCTTGTTTATATTTTGCTGTATTGATAATAATATGCCATGCCATAAATAAATAGAAAGTGAATATGTATATGATACTGAGCGTAAATATTTTGATCCTTCGCTGTCTCCATATGAAGAGTCACTTTTCTATATGAATAAGTATACTTTAACGGGAAATCTTGTAAGTGTACTTGAGAAAGATGAATTTTCAAATTGACAATAGTTAAAAAATTTATCAAAAATCAATAGTTGTTTAAACTAGGATACTCTAGGAAAACCAGAAAGACGTTGATTCCGACGTTTTTGAATTACGTGGGCATTCCACCTGAAAATTACTTTACGCAACATTATATTGAATCAACTATACGTAAGAATATTTGTTTAAAAGTTTTATATAATCACGTACACATTTTTAACCTGATGTTGCTTGCGTTGTTGATTAATAATCACAGAGGATGTTCCGGCGCAGCCTTCTAACACAGCTTTTCCTGACTGTAAGTATTAGTCCACATAACTTTATTACAGAAGTGGAAAAAGAGCAAAGGTAAAAAACATCCATCAAATAAAATTAATTTGATCATCTTGCTAATATTTTATTAACATAGCTTTACAAATAATGATTATATAATAGGCACAGTACCGTAAGTAAAATATTATCATTTTTTGAAAACCTATTATACAACGTAGTGATCATCGCCCATTTGGATAAATAGTTGATGTCCGCATTAGGAACCATAGCCGCATACTACAGTTCTGTTGTATTCATTTATGTCTTTTTATTTGGTAA